TCCTCCTCGGGTCCATGCACAAAGCTGGGTCAGTCAGGCCGCGCAGGATCCTGCGCGCTGACCCAGTCCAGTGCAACCCTGGCCCGCAGGATACCGCAAGATTCGGCGCTCTGGCTGGCGGACCCCCGTTTGCATTGACCCCCGTCCTTTCGCTCCCCAGATGTGACCCCCTCCCCGGACATCCGGCCGCTCAAAAGTTGTTGGCGCGCGGGCCCGTGAAGTCTGGACCACTTCCCTGGTGATGGTTTTTCGTCCCGAATCGTTTTTTGACGCTCCCGAGGCCCGGCGAGGGCCCCCGGAGGCCGAAAACCGCCCAAGTCCCGCCCCTCCAGTTTTTGGTTGGTTGGAGCGTCGGATCTCTGGGTCCCCCCCTCTCCCGGCCTTCACCTCGGGCTTCGGGGGCCTGCCCCCGTCGTCCGCCCGGCCCGCGAGCGCCCAGATGCCCTTCTGCTTCCTCTCGGGGACCAGGCCGCCGGCAGGGCCATCGCGCCGAAGCAGGGGTGGGGCGGGGGGGGAGGGGAGGAGGAGGAGGAGGAGGAGGAGGAGGAGGAGGAGGAGGAGGAGGAGGGGAGAGGAGGAGGAGGAGGAGGAGGAGGAGGAGGAGGAGGAGGAGGAGGGAGGAGGAGGAGAGGAGGAGGAGGAGGAGGAGGAGGAGGGAGGAGGAGGAGGAGGAAGGAGCGCGATGGAGGGGAGGAGGAGGAGGAGGATGAGGAGGAAGAGGAGGAGGAGAAGGAGGAGGATCAGGAGGAGGAAGAGGAGCGCGATGGAGGAGGAGGAGGAGGAGGAGGAGGAGGAGGAGAGGAGGAGGTAGGGGAGGAGGAGGAAGAGGAGGAGGAGGCGAGGAGGAGGAGGAAGGGAGGAGGAGGAGGAGGAGGAAGAGAGGAGGAAAGAGGAGCGCGATGGAGGAGGAGGAGGAGGAGGAGGAGGAGGAGGAGGAGGGAGGAGGAGGAGGAGGAGGAGGAGGAGGAGGAGGAGGAGGGAGGAGGAGGAGGGAGGAGGAGGAGAGGGGGGGGGCGGAGAGGAGGAGGAGGCAGGAGGAGGAGGAGGAGGAGGAGGAGGAGGAGGAGGAGGAGGAGAAGAGGAGGAGGAGGAGGAGGAGAGGAGGAGGAGGAGGAGGAGGAGGAGGAGGAGGGGGGGAGTAGGAGGAGGAGGAGGCTGAGGGTCCCCTGACTGGCACGCTCCCACCGCTTTACACAAAGGGGCCCAGGGACACACAACTAAATGGACACACATACAGGATTCCGCATACTTCCCAACACTTTCTGGGTTTCCGTCTTCCCCCCCACTTCCCATGTTTCCCCATGTTTTCCTGGGAGTCGACGATTCATCGTGACTGTGCGTTTCTCTCCCTCCCAATTGCACTGGAGCGCTGCGATGGCAGGCGGAGGAGATAAGGGAACGAACGAGGAGAAACTCGGAGGTTCACGCGGGTTGCTCGGATCGGCGCTGGAGCCCCCCTGGCGGCGCCTCTGGTGCCGCCCCTGGCGCGCTCCGCGCGCCAGGCCACGGGGGTGGGCGGCGCCGATCCGATAAATCCGCGAGGGACCTCCGAGTTTAAGGAGGGGGGGGGGGGGAGGAGGAGGGAGGAGGAGGGAGGAGGGAGGAGGGAGGAGGAGGGAGGAGGAGGAGGAGGGAGGAGGGAGGAGGAGGGAGGAGGAGGGAGGAGGAGGCTTTTTCCCCTCTGGAAGAGGAGGGAGCCGACTGAGGAGTCTGGGGGAACCAGGAGGTACCGACGCCGCCACCCCCCAGGGCCTCGCCCGGGGTGCGCTCCGACCAGAATCTCGAGGCGAGCCCAGCGGTGGTGGTGGCGAGGGCCTCCCAGGAGGCCCAGGAAGGGGAAGCGGCCGAAGGGCAGTCAGCGGTACGGGTGTGTACCCTTTCCTCCTCCGAGCGAGTCTGGGGGGCATACCTTGAAGGGGCCCAAGGACACACAAAGAAGTACACCCCCAAAAAAAGACTCCCCATACTTGTCCATACTTTCTGGGCTCTCGTCTTCCCCCACACACTTCCCATATTTTCCTACATCTTCTGGGAAATCGACGATTCATTGTGCCTGTGTGTTTCTTTCTTCCTCCTCCTCCTCCTCCTCCTCCTCCTCCTCCTCCTCCCCCTCCTCCTCCTCCTCCTCCTCCTCCTCCTCCTCCCCCTCCTCCTGGAAGATGGAGGGGGCGGTCGGCGCACCGTGGCCCGAGAGGCACGCGCGCGGACGACGGGGGGGGGGGGGGCCCGGAGCCCGGCGGCGCCGAGCTCGGGAGGCCGTTTTCCACGGGCCCTGTGGCTGCCGAGAGGTCTCCGGGGCCTGGCGGGCCCCGGGAGGAGGAGGAGGAGGAGGAGGAGGAGGAGGAGGAGGAGGAGGAGGAGGAGGAGGAGGAGGAGGAGGAGGAGGAGGAGGAGGAGGGGCCCCGGGCCCGGGGACTGCCGGAGCTCGCCGCCTCCGAGAGAGTTCCACGCTTGCCTCGAAGCAGCGGGCAGGAGCGAGGAGCGGGAGGGCGCCGGAAGCGGACTGGGCCTCCGCCCGCCCCCCGGAGAGGAGGGGAGGCGGAAACCGGTCGGTCCTTGGAGGAGGAAGGCGGCAGAAGCAGATGGGGATCCGGGAGCCCAGAACTGCCTACTTATCATCGACGACCGTGTGCTCCGTGACAGACGCCTCCTGCAGCTGCACAGCTTCTGTCGTAGAGTAGGAGCTCGACCACAGGAAACCTTCCACAGGAGACCCAACCCCGAGAGCCCAGGACGGCCATTGACTTTTGGTGTGGGAACGTCGCGCTTGCCATAGCAAAACCATCGAACACACAATACACCCAGGGCACCCTGGAGGCAAGCCGGTGTTTCTTGGCATGGGCCTCCACTGTACAGAGGGTCATTGGTTCGTGTTGCGTCGAAGGGAACAAAAAGCTAAGAACGAAACTCCAGCCTCGGAGAGGTGGTCGATATCCCCTCGGGGGGGGCTTCACGAAAAGAGTGCAAAAGGTCGGGGGGAGGGGGGGGGCCAGGGGGAGCACTTGGGAGAGAGAAGAAGAGGGGGCCGTGCACTCCAGGACGGGGCACGAGCTAAACAAGTGTGTTTCGTTTCCGTTATGATTTCGTTTTCCTTTCGTTTTCGCCTTCGTTACGATTAAAGTTTCGTTTTCGTTGTCGTTTTCGTTATGATGTCGTTTTCCCGCATTTTGTCTTCGTGCTGCCTTCGTTGCGAACTGAAATCAAAACGAAAACGGTGGACGAAATCGCCAGAACACCGTGGAGTTCGAGCCCTGATCTGGGAGGGCTCGTGGCCCTGTACATGATTCACACACACACACACAGGCATACACACACACACACACACAAAAAAAAAAAAAAAAAAAAAAAAAAAAAAAACGTTTCGTTCGCGGACAGCTGGTGCAACGCAGCGAGGGCAACATTATCCTGGCGAAGGACCCAACCATATGAAGTTGTGGGTACCGCAATTGTGAGTATCTTCTTCGGTGAAGCTCTCTACGGGGCCACGAAGCGCTGCGCTGGGCGGGGGGGAACGCATGCGGGCGGTAGCACTGGAGGCTTCGGTGGAGCTCCCTGTGAAGCCACGAAACGCTGCACTGGGTGGGTGAAAATACCAAATTAGGCATGTGGGACGCATGCGGGCGGTCCCATTGGGGGCTTCGGTGGAGTTCCCCATGGGGCCGCGAAGCGTTGTAAACGGTGGGTGGAAATGCCAAATTGGGTGTGGGGGACACATGCGGGCGGCCCGACTGGGGGCTTCGGTGGAGCTCCCTATGGGGCCACGAAACGCTGTACTGGGTCGGTGAAAATGCCAAATTGGGTGTAGGGGACGCAGGCGGGCGGTCCCACTGTAGGTTTCGGTGGAGCTCCCTGTGGGGGACGCATGCGGGCGGTCCCACTGGGGGCTTCGGCGGAGCTCCCTATGGGGCCACGAAGCGCTGTACTGGGCGGGGCATGGTGGACGTATGCGGGCGGTCCCACTGGGGGCTTCGGTGGATTTCCTTATGGGGCCACGGAGCGCTGTACTGGGTGGGCGACGATGCCAAATTGGGTGCGGGAAACGCATGCGGACGGTCCCACTGGGGGCTTCGGCGGGGCTCACGAAGCGCTGTACTGGGTGGGTGACAATGCCAAGTTGGGTGTGTGGGGGACGCATGCGGGCGGTCCCACTGGGGGGTTCGGTGGGGCTCCCTATTGGGCCACGAAACGCTGCACAGGTTTGGGGAAAATGCCAAAATTGGATGTGGGGGACGCATGTGGGCGGTACCACTGGAGGCTTCGGTGGAGCTCCCTATGGGGTCACGAAGCGCTGAATTGGGTGGGTGGAAATGCCAAATTGGGCGCTGGGGGCGCATGCGGGCGGTCCCATTGGGGGCTTCGGTGGAGCTCCCAATGGGGCCACGAAGCGCTGTACTGGGTCGGTGAAAATGCCAAATTGGGTGTGGGGGACGCACGCGGGCGGTCCCAGTGGGGGTTTCGGTGGAGCTCCCTATGGGGCCACGAAGCGCTGTACTGGGTGGGTGACAAAGCCAAATTGGGTGCGGGGGACGCATGCGAGCGGTCCCACTGGTAGCTTCGGTGGAGCCACCATATGCGGGCCACGAAACGCTGCACTTGATGGGTGGAAATGCCAAATTGGGGTTGAGGACGCACGCGGGCGGTCCCAGTGGGGGCTTCGGTGGAGCTCCCTATGGGGTCACGAAGCGTTGTAAAGGGCGCGTGAAAGTGCCAAATTGGGTGTGGGGGACGCATGCGGGCGGTCCCATTGGGGGCTTCGGGTGGAGCTCCCTATGGGGCCACGAAACGCTGTACTGGGTGGGTGAAAACGCCAAATTGGATCTGGGGGACGCATGCGGGCGGTCCCACTGGGGGCTTCGGTGGAGCTCCCTATGAGGCCACGAAACGCTGTGCTGGGTGGGTGAAACGCATGGAAGGAGGAGGGAGGGGAGGAGGGGGAGGAGAAGGAGAAGAGGAGAAGAAGAAAGGAACGCGGGGACCGTCTCTTCAAAACGAGGACCCAACACCACAGGATGGTTGGGAAAAAAACTCGCGAAGAATGATTACCGTCGAGCGTGTGCCGATGAGGGGGTCAAACCGACGAGCGGTTGACGGTTGCACGTGAAAACTGCCGAAGGCCACGCACGCTGAATTTACGACAGCATGCACCGCCGGGGCAGAGGCAGGGTGCGAAAGGCAGAAATCCGCCGCATGCGGCCTGCTCAGGAGCCCGCGACAGGGAGGATCGAGGACAAAGGAGGAAGCGCGGCGGCGGCCAGGAAGCCGCATTGAAGGGGCAAACGCACGAGTCAGAGGCAAAGCCAGCAGGTGGCGGATCACACACACACACACACACACACACACACACACACACACACACACACACGCACGCACGCACGCACGCACGCACGCACGCACGCACGCACGCACGCACACGCACGCACAGCACACACCACACACACACACCACACACCACGC